TTCTTTAGGTTTTGGAGAACAAGACCGAGAAACTCTTTGAGGGTTAGAGTTAGACGAGACTAGACAAACACCTAGAAGCAGCAGCAGGGAAGATAAGGGAGGGAGAGGGGGAGGCGTCCGCCTTCTCCGAGAGCCAAAGAAGACGAAAGTATGTACTGCAAGTCTTGTTGCATGGACTGTTAACTTCTTCAATCTGCCATTCCAGTTTAATCCAAAGAACAGAGGATACATTAATGAGGTGAGGGAAGCGTGCCGCCTGCTGCGCAAAACTGGATCTCAGTGGATCGCTGAGAGAAAGGCCGCCATTGAAAACGGTGACGAGGTCCCCAAGGACATCCTGACACAAATCATCAAAACTGCCAACCAAGGTTGTAATCCCTAAATTTCACATTTGAATAGACTCAGTAAGCATTGAGCATTGATTTTAAATTGCTGTGAATACTACACACAAGAGTAAACAAATACACTGAGTTTTTAGTTGTGGCGAGTGGAGTGTTCTTTGTTGTGGTCCGCATGCTGATGCTGAAGAAGCGACATCATGCCGATGACACCAGCAAACTAAATAAACTGATCAGGAAGGCTGGCTCTGTGATTCGCTTGGAAATGGACACTTTGGAAGCTTTGCCGAATATAAACAGATGACTGATAGAGACATTAACACAGAAGACATTGTAACATTGTAATAAATGAAAAAAGAGAAAGAAGCCAAATATTAATTTATATGTCAATTTTCTTATTGTTTCAGAGGAAATCATGACTGAAGAAGATGAGGAGTTTATGCTGGACAATTTCGTGACATTCTTCATTGCCGGTGAGTCTCTGTTATTTCATGTGTCTCCAGCAGACTGTGATACTGAAGAGGATAAGCGGTTAACAAAGTAGATGGGTAGTTGGATGGATATGGGAAATGTTACAAAATAAGTTGGAGGTTGTGCTTCCTTCTGGCACACTGCAAGGCTTAACTGCCACAGCATATTCGTCCACATATATGAAGCCCCCTTCATCAAAGACTGGTTTAAATCCAAACACTGAACCTTGGGGTACACCAGAAGTGACCGGGAATAGACGAGAGCAGAATGATTTCAGTTGAATAAACTGGGAGTGGTCAAGGAGCTATGGTTGAAACCAGGTCAGGGAGCTGAACAGGATGATGAATAAATGACTGGACCAGAGACTGGATAGAAGATTGGGCAACCGGTGACTGAGCTATGGGAGACTGGACTACAGACTGAACTGACTGGAGTGTGTCAGAGATGCAGAGAGAGGAAAGTCTGCTTAGAAGGACAGAATGAGAGATCGTGTCGAAGGCTGAGCTCAGATCCGAAAGGACGAGAATGGTGAGAAGACCAGAGTCAGCTCCGATTAGAAGATCGTTAGTGACTTAAAGTAAAGCAGTTTCTATACTGTGACATGAACGAACACCAGACTGAAATCTCTTGTAGATGTTATTATTATCCAGGTGTGAATGAAGTTGAACTGCAACAACTTTTTCAAGTATTTTAGAGATGAAGAGTAGATTAGAAATCGTACGGCGGTTGTTAAGGTTGTCAGGATCTAAAGAAGGTTTTTTCAGTATGGGAGTGACTGAAGCAATCAGCAATGAAGCAATCCCCTAAGGAGGGGACGATACCGGTGGTGAGTGAAGAGTGAATGATAGCAGAGATGAGTGGGAGTAAGGAAGAGAGGCAGGATTTTACAAGCCCTGTAGGCATAGGGTCAAGATGACATGTGGCAGGCTTTGATTTACATATAAACTCAGAAATATCAGATAAATCAGGAAGATGGAAAGTGGAAAACGGCTCAAAATAGAGAAAAGGTTCTGGAGAGGGCGTAGACACAACAATTGAACTGAGTTGCTGGTGGATGTTATTGATTTTTGTAGTCCAGAGCAGCATCAAGGAGTTACAGGTTTCATGTGCCTTGTTGATTCGAGTCTTTATGCTGAAGTACATGGTATTTGTAGATTTCTGCATCAACAGGAATCTAAATAATGGCTTGCTGCTATTATATGAGTGTGCAGTGCTCTTGGGTTCACCGTCTGAGCTGTCTTTTGATTGTGACGCCTGGTTTCAAAAATGCTAAGCAATGGAGGAAATGCTAAACTTGAAACTTGAAAAACAGCAGCGTCTTTTGTATATAGTGTATGTTGTAACATTTTATTGAGTTTCATGTCAACTGATTATTTTATGATCACTGTTTTGGTGTAGAAAGAAGAAAAGATTAAGAGTACAATTATTTAAGTGATTGTACGTTCATTTTAAGGTGGTAATATTCAATTTTGATACATTTGTGCTATTTCAGGCCAAGAAACAACAGCCAATCAGCTGGCTTTTTGCATCATGGAACTTGGAAGACATCCTGATATACTGGAAAAGTAAAAAGTCTAAATATAGCAGACATCAGTTTCCATTAGAAAAAGTGAACTTTGGTTTCTTATGGAGTTTTCTCATTTCTCAGAGCGAAGAACGAGGTGGACGATGTTATTGGGATGAAACGTGAAATAAGCTACGATGACCTGGGCAAGTTGGTCTACCTGTCACAGGTACATGTTACTATTTGAAATTAGTGGTAATGGTTTTAGTGTGATTTGTAATCTCATGTTCACCCATGGATTCAAAATGAGTCAACTGACAATGAAAGACTGCATCAACAGTAAACTTTGGCTCTCAGTCTTGTTTTTATAAAACAAGATGCACCATAAACGTTGTAATCTTCCCCCAGGTGCTAAAAGAGACTCTGAGAATTTATCCCGTAACTCCGGCCACATCTCGTGATATTGCTGAAGACATGGTGATTGATGGTGTCCACATACCTGGAGGATTTGTTGCTGTAGTGAGTCATAGATTTTTTTTTATGTGTTTCTAGCTTCAAAGCAGAAAATAAACTTCTGTTTTATATAATCATAAAGATCAGTGGCATCAATTAGTTAAACAAAACCAAACCAAACTCACAAGACAGTTACCTGGAATCAAGACGAATAAATAATCTATTCTCATATTTAGTTCAACTCCTATGTAAGTGGGAGACTGGAGAGATTCTTCAAGGATCCACTGAGATTTGATCCAGACAGATTTCACCCAGATGCTCCCAAGTAAGGAACACACTGTTTCACCATGCTGACTTTATTCCGTTTCATGTTTGCACACACTTTATTATCTCAGACTAAATGAGTGAAACGGTTCACAGTAACTGAGGCTGTCTCTTATCTGTTCAACAAGGCCTTATTACTGCTACTACCCCTTTGCCCTCGGTCCTCGCTCGTGTCTGGGACAGAACTTTGCTCAGGTGAGGATGACAGTGTAAGTCAACATGAAGACCCACTCACCTATAAACACACTGACTCATCTCTGTGGGTGCTGGTGTGCTTTTTAGATGGAGGCTAAAGTGGTGATGGCCAAACTGCTCCAGAGGTTTGACTTCACTCTTGTGCCGGGACAGACCTTTGACATCCTGGATGCTGGAATGCTCAGACCAAAGAGTGGAGTAATTTGCTCTTTCGCTCACAGGGAATAAAAAGAATAAATGGCCATAAAGCACCAATACATTAGAAGAGGTCACAGTAGTCTATAGAGTCAAATTGGGCTTTTATTCATATCTAAAACTGTCACTTAAAAAAGAAGAAGAAAACCTTGTAATGAAAACAACAGGTATGTTTGGAGGCAGAGAGAGAGAGAAGGTAGGAGTGTGGAGGTGAAGGAAGCAGGAAAAAGAAGAGGAAGAAATCCTTTCTGATGCAACACCAAAAGGAGTTGTGTGTCTGTGCGAATGACCAGATTTTTTGCTTGATAGGCAAATGTGTTAACCACTACACTTCAGAGCCACCCATTACAATAGTCAGTATATAGAAACATTTTTGAGGGGCGCTGGTCTCTAAGGTAATGCCATTTGTTACTTTTATACACTGCTGATATATATATATTTTAGTTTATATTATATAGTTGCTTTTTCATAGCCATTGAACCACAGAAGCTTTAGTGTCTGTAACACTAATTTAAGCACAGGTTTTATGTAAATCAAAATAAAACTGAAACTTTAATGTTTGTCAGTGTGAGTTTATTTGTGTTTGCGGTGTAGTGATTTCTAATGTACCCAACTTGCTCTTTTAATGCAATTACCAACAGTGTACACATGGGGGCGCTAAGCTCCTGCACAGAAATCTGACTTTTAAAGCAGAGGCAGCACAACAGC